CCTATAAATGAATATTTCAACAATCTATTTTTATGAAATATTGTAAGCACTTTTTAGTCACGACACTATTAATCTCATTTTGCTCTAAGCTATTTTTCTTTATATAGAGTTCGGTTTGTTTCCCATATGATCATCAGTTCATACGGATTAATTAATTCCTTAGTAACTATTGCAATTTTTGCAAAATGGTATATGATTTTCTTATTCATTTTAATTTGCTTTACGTGCACTGCGGATACCAAGATAATTACCGGACATCTTCTATAAAACAAAACTTAATATTAACACTAGTATTAATAATAAAAATAATATCAATATTATAATATTTAAAAAAATAATGAGGTGCTATTTTAGTGCCACGTTAAAATTTATTAGTTTAAAATAAGGTAAATTAACCTATGGACGTGAAATTACAAACCTGATCATAACATGTTTAACTTCGACCTTTCGCAATATAAAAACTAACGCGTAACATTTTCTGGTATTTTCCGAATTGAGATTTACAATTTCCCCAATGTCTCTTTCAATATATAAATAAACTGAACTTCACTCTTTTATTGTAGTTGCGCAAGAACTAAACCTGTTAGCCTTGAAGTTTTATTTACTACTTCATCGAACTGCCTCATATCACATGATAAAGTTTTTATATAATACTGTGGCAGGAGGTAATATAAAGTAAGACTTGGCATACAATTATTTAGATTGACCGCAGACATTGTAGTGGAAAAATGGTACTCTATGCGCTTCATATATTTGGTGTCGTAGTACTTGGATTGTGTATGGCGGAAAAATTGGATCTTCGTAAGTACTCTTCCATCATTTTTTTCGCATTTTTAAGTTGTCTTTACATATATTCAAAGAAATAGAAAGAAATGTCAACTATTTATTTTTAAAATCACAGATGTAATAATTTACTTGGAAATAGCTGTTTTTTTTCTGTTTCTATTTCTACGCAGCTGTGACAACCTGCAAGCGCGATGCAGCCAACTATTCGTCTTGTTTAAAACGCGCGTGTAGAGAAGCATGGCCACTTTTTGTAAAAGGTATCTCTTAAAATATATCTCATCATTTTAAGTGCCACTTTTTTCCGAGAAAATTTTCCTACATGTTATTCTACATATAAAATTATATGTGTTGTTCTGTAATTGCAATTGTTATTTAATGTAATCCTTTTATATAAATTTTTATATAAATCGATAAAATAATCGATGAAATTATCTAAGCTGTAAAGTTCAAAGATTTCCTGATTCGACCAGTTATTAAATTCTCGAAACCAACATTTACACGAATAATAATGGATATATTCTAAAAACAGGCCTCCCTGCTGAATTTGACTTTCCACCTTTGTATCCATACTTTTACGAATATGAACACGAGACATTTGATAGTGGCGAACTACATGCAGAAGTAACTGTTTCAAATGCAACTATTAAAGGTTATGAAATGATACGTTTCATGAATGTGAGACCGCACTTTCTCAATGAAATTTTTCGTTTGGAGATCAATATACGTATATCAAGAGTATTAGTAGATGGTATCTGCGAAGCTTACGGGAATTTAGGCCCGTTCAGAATAGGCGGCAAAGGTACATAAATAAATCTTCTATATTTAAACAAGATTTGGTCGTAGGCATTTGTTTATGTATGGTTACTCTCTCACTGTAAAAGAGAATTACTTAAAAAATATAAATTGTTCTAATTGTGTTTTTCCTATAAGAGTATTCTGACATATAGCAAAATATAATTAAAATATAAGATTATTTTTCATATATGAATTTATTATAACTTAATTTACAAATAGATATATTATGTGTATGCATAAGATTTTTCCGGCTTAACTAAGAGATGGCGCCAGCGAAAAGTACGCAGCGTATTAATTTGAT